AAGTCGCACCCCAAGGGCGCCAAGTGGGCGCCGACTTCGCCCGCCAGAATGCCAAGCTGTTCCCCGAGGCGACGAGCGATGCCCCCAGTGGAACCAAGAGTCATCGAGTTATCTGGGGCTAGGTTGACCCCGAGCTCCTTGGCGAAAACAACGTGCAAGTCCTGTGCCACGCGCTCAAAGGCGTCGAGCACCGCGTCGGGCTCGCCTTGGCAACTAACCGTGTCGTCGTCGATGTACGACGCCAGTTCCACACTAGGGTGACGGCGCACGAAGCCGTCTAGAGGCTCCAGCGCGCACGCGCACACAAACATATCTTCCAAACAAGAACCTGCTGGCACCCCATTGTCCCCATACAGCGGCACCAAACTGTGGTCCGCCCCGAGCCTAAGGACGCGTGGGCCTCGCCATCAAATTGAACGCAACTTTGATCGCGATCGGGTTAAGACCTGCTCGGAGGCCCCGCTCTTTGAAAACCACCGCGTCGAAGATTCCATAGTACTTGGACCCGCCCCAAAAGAACCCCGCCGCGACACCCCCATTCAGCCGCGTTGGCTTCCGCTTCCACCGCCTGTTTCCACATGCTACTTTCCGCCGACTTCCCCGCCCCAGAAGCCAAGTACTTGCGGGGGATATCCGCGTTGAGGGCATCGACGACAGGACGACGAAGCTTCTCCATAAGCGCACGGGGGCAGCGCGCGGCAGCACAGGCCTCAGCCCACCCCTGGGCTTCTCGAGGGGGGGGGGGGGGGGCGTCCAATGCGCGGCCTTCGGAACGCCCCTATCTGTTCGACCATTTGAAAAATGCAGACCAAAGTGAAGCCCATCATCGGACATGCACTAGAAATGTCCGGCATGCATTCCGCCCAGAGACTGCGCTGCGCGCGGGAAAAAACTCATGGACGGACGCAGCTCTGATGGCATCAGGCGTGGGCCTGTCCAGACAGGAGCTATCTGGGGCCCCCAGGAAGGCAGGGGCGGTGCGGGCGTTCCAAGACCCCCCAAGGACATCGGCCCCCCTCGCCAAATGTCAGCCTTGGCCGAAATGCGCTGACAGGTCTTGCAGAGACCCCCAAACCCTTAATTCAAACCCACCCCTCAGCCACTCTGACATCGTTTTCTTTCTCGTTACGGGGGGGTCAAAACCGAAATCCACCCGGGAGAATCCTGTTGGCCTCCTCAGCCACAGCTCGGGCCACGGCCCAATCGGCGGGGGCAGGGGTGGGCCCGACAGGAAGAGACGCGGGAAGCCTTTGATGTGGCATGAAAACAAGTTGCTGCAGATTCACAGCCCCAGGCCTGAGACGCAGCTGGACTGGGCGGCGGGGCCTCTTCGGCCACTTGGTGTCGACCGTCGTGCTCTCGACAAGCTTGCCGAAAGCCGTCGACGTCAAAAATAGTCGATCGTACTGTTGGGCTGGGCCGTCGCGCAAGTCTGCACACTCGGCTGTAAGATAAGCGCCCCGCCCTTCGCGGCACCCTTGAGGCCTCTAACAACATGAACGGTCGATTCCTGTCGGCCCCGACAAAGGCCAAGTGAGCGCCTTCCAAGACTTCCCCCACCATTTTGAGGATGTGCAGGTTGCGATAATCCGTCACTGGTGTGAAGATGAGCGCAGCCAGCCAAAATCGGCGACCAGCCTGGGATATCGATCGTCGCGAACATCAGCCGCCGTGGAGACGCGACGCCTCCCGGCAGCGAACCTGGCCAACGATGTCCGACTGTGACACAGGCGAAGATAGCAATCCCAACGGAGAAATGACCTCCTTCACAGGGCTTCGACGTTGTGCGCAACATGTTCCACCCAATCGACCGTGCTGAACTGGCTTTGGCACCGACGTCCTCCTCCGCGAAACCGGCTTCCTGAGCGAAGATGACTAAGGCCGTGCTTTGCCCCAGACGATCCCTGAGAGTGCCCGAGCTGTTCCCATGATAACTTTCGACAAGGTGAGACAAGGTGTCACTATCACTACGCAGGGGGGCGGGTTGCGGCGGACAGCTTGCGCCACGAGCAGACATGCGCAAGCCTGAGCAGCGAGGCCCCGCTGGGGGCCTAACTTTATCGCCCGGGCTTGGAACCAAAAAAGTGGCGGACCTCGCTGAGCTCAGTGCAGACCCGCGACGAAGTCCAGCATCATCTGGACACGTCCTGGCAATCTCAGGGCCCGAAGAACCCGAATCATGGTTTTTTCTACCTGCGCGCGGCAAAAGGTTTGGACAAGGGGCGCGACGGGCTCGCTCCATCGCCTCGAATTTCGGCGACGAATCTTGCCTCGCCGCGCTGCAACATGTCGAGCAGGCACCGCTGGGCGCGCGCGTCCACGCAGTGCTGCACCGCCCGCTCGGGCCCGAAAAGCTGGCCGCAGAACTGGATCGCCCCACGAGGTAGCTCCCCCGCAGGTCGGCACAACCCTGGGTCAAGACCCCCATCTTGAAGCCCACTATGGTCATCGGCATCCGTGGTACCCAGAGGCCGACTCCGATTGTTAAAGAGTCGCCTTCTTGGGCTTCCTGAGGGGTACGTGGCTGAGCGCCTCCAAGATCGCGCGATTGTCACCCTTGCGCTTTCCCCAGAAGGCTGCAGCTGCCTGCGCGTCGGCGAAGGCGTCGACCAAGTCCATGTCTTCAAGCGCAAGCACTCGCGCCGGGGAAGGTGCCGACTCGGCGTAGCCACGCTTCTCCAACCACAGCTGCTTGAGCTCCTTGAAGGTCTCGGACCCCAGCATCTTCCTGAGCGCCGCCTTTCCTTCAAGCGCGTTTGGTGGTAGATCGAGGGAAAGGTTAGCGGCGCCCCTGGGCATTGACGTGTGCAGCTGCTTCTGAAGAGCTGCCACCTCAGCCTCGGTCGCCGTCTTCTTGGCCGCCAACTCCTGCTTGCGCTGCTGGATCTCGACCAAAAAGCTTATCCTGCTCCTCGATATCCTCAACACTGTTGCCCAGCTTGCTCGTCGCTATCGCCAGCTTGTGCCCGACGTTGGCGCGCTGCGTGAGCGACGACTTGCGGCCTTCCATCTTGGCGCGTAACTCCTTGGGCGCGTTATCCAAGGAGGTCCGTGCTTCATCCATGAATCGCCCTTGCACGAGCGGACGGCGTCCTCCAGCTCCTTGGCCTGCTGCTGGTCGGCGTCGGCCGCGACGCCTGATGCGCCGCCGCCACCCAGGGCCGCCGGGTTGCCACCGGCAGGTGGCTGGTCCAGCAGGCTTGGTCCCTGCAGGGGGCTGGCCTCCAGACTTGAGCAACTTATCCATCTGCCTCTGCAAGGCCGCCAGTTGCTGCTCGAGCTTGGCTTCCTGGCGCGCGCTAACTCCAGGAAGACGCGGCTGCCCGCGGCCACCAGCAGGAGGGCCATGCTCATCAGCGCCGAAACTTCTGGCACGGGCCAGCACGCACTGCGGCGCGGAGACACCGCAGCGGCACCGCAGCCTGCGCGCCCAAGTCGATGTGCGCCCACACTGCTGACAACCCAAGAAAGGCGTCTTGGGCCCTTTGACCACGGTCGTTCTCGACGAACACAGGGACGCCGCCCCATCCACATGGAGCGGTCGCGTGGCTGCTCCCGGCTAGGGGGAAGGGTCTCGGGGTGCTCACCGACCTGCCCCTTGCCCCGTCCTGGCCAGCGCGTCGTTCCTCTAGGCCGCCGCAGCCGCGCCCACGTCGCCCCGCCAGCGGCGGCACCCCCTCCCAACCGCGCGCCATCGTCGCATGGAAGGCTCACGGGCACAACGGCGGGCACCTTAACCAGTGTGCCGATGGGCACGGCATCCAGAGGATGGTGGCATCTGCCCGCGGCAGAGGGTGCGGGCCCCGTAGCTCCAGAAGGCGCGCCACTCGTGGGGCGACCAGCACCATTGAGGGTAGCGTCCGCAAGCCCACCTTCTGAAGACGTCAACACACCTTATGGCGCAGCGCACATTGACTGCTGCACGCACTGGCCCTGGTTGCGCGCACCTACGACAAGGAGGGCGTGGATCGCATAGGTCCAGAAGGCGCGCCGTTCGCGGGGCGAGCAGCGTCATCGGGCGCAGCATCCGCAAGCCCACCCTATGGCTCCGTCGAAACACTTTGCCGAGGCGCCGTGCGTAGCTGCTCCTGCACGGCCGCGTCAGCGCCTTCCTCCTGAAACTTCACCTTGACATGCCATTTCTGTTTCGCAGTGGGTGCGAGCTGCTTCTCTAGGCGAACCAACGCCGCTCTGCCTTACGAGGTGGGCGCCATCATGCAGGGTTTGCTGAACGAGCAGGGCCTCGCCGTTGCCGTGGCACCACACACAGCACACACCACGACCGGCAGCTCCTTCACGAGGTCAGCGCCCTCGCGCTGGCTCGAGGACCACCAAAACGTGAGCTTTCAGACCTTCCTCGCGTCGCTTCCGAGTGTGCCCCACCTGCAGCACGAACACCATTCACCTCCCTTGTTCCACGTAGGTCACACATGAGCCCGGGTGCTTGCACCACCTGCTTGACCTTCGACGCCTTCTTGTTCGGTGTTGCTGCTCGAGGCGTGGTGTCCGCCCCGTCCAGAGGTGCGCCCACGGCGGACGTCCCCAGCGCGACGCCTTTCACCAGCTGGTGCACCTCACGGAACTGATCACGACAATGGACAAAGATACAACCAAAAACTGCCGCACTCTTGGTTGCCCGGTCGGCCAGCCCATTCCGCGGCCAGCCACGGTAGCTGATGGAGGAGGAGGAGGAGGAAGGAGGATGGACAGTGAGGAATGGATGCGGCGGAACGGAATGCCCAATGTCTGGAGACGACAAGCGACCATCTCACCGATCCTGGCCAGGCCCATTGTGGGCCCAGGCTCGGCCTGGCCAGATGCCTCCGGACAAGGCGAGGAGTGGAGGGGGAGGAGCCAAGGGCGGAACCAAAGGAGGAGCCAAAGGGGGATGGAGGAACGGACAGCCAAAGGAGGGAAGAGGAAGGGGACGGGGAAGAGGGAGGGAGGCGGGAGAAGGATGGAGGAGCCGAGGAAGAGTGGAAAGAATGAAGTGGCCATGCCCCCTCCTTGAACGCCTTCGAGCGCCTGTCGGCTGGCTGCAGACGGCCCTGGTCGAGGAGCCCGCCCCAATCACCGATGATGAAGACGTGCTGGGAGCTGCCTCGGGACCAGGGATCCTCCTCCTACTCTTCCTCTCCTCATCCCCCTCATCCCCTGATCGATCCTCCTCCTCCTCCTCCTCTTCCTGCTCCTCCCTCTCCTGCTCCTGCTCCTGCTCCTGCTCCTGCTCCTGCTCCTCTTTTTCCTTTTCCTTTTCCTTTTCCTTCTCCTTCTCCTCGTCCTCCTCGTCCTCCTCGTCCTCCTCCTCGTCCTCGTCCTCGTCCTCGTCCTCCTCCTCCTCCTCCTCCTCCTCCTCCTCCTCCTCGTTCGCAACCACGCCTCCGCGTGCCTCCAGTCCACGCACGTAGCGCGGGGCGCGCACGCGCGCTCGTGCGCCCACTGCCACGGGCGCGGCGGCCCCCCCACCACCTCCTCCTCCTCCTCCTCCTCGTCTTCGTCCTCGTCCTCGTCCTCCTCCTCCTCCTCGTCCTCGTCCACGTCATCGTCCTCCTCCTCCTCCAACTGCTCCTCCTCCTGTTTCTCCTGATGTTCCTTCTCCTGCGCCTCCTCCTCCTCCTCGTCCTCCTCTTCGTCCTACTCATCGTCCTCCAGATCCTCGTCCTGCTCCACTTCCTCTTCCTCCTCGTCCTCGTCCTCGTCCTCCTCCTCGTCCTCTTCCTCTCCCTCCACATCCCCCCTCCTCCTTCTCCTCCTCCTCCTCGTCCTTGTCCTCGTCCTCCACCTCGTCCTCGCCCTTGTCCTCCTCCTCCTCCCTTTCGTCCTCCTCCTCCTCCTCCTCGTCCTTTTCGTCTTCCTCCTCCTCCTCCTCGTCCTCGTCCTCGTCCTCCCCCTCCTCCCCCTCCTTCCCCTCCTCCTCCTCCTTTTTTGTAGTCCACCTCCTCCTCCTCCTCCTCATGTTCCTTCTCCTCCTCCTCCTGTTCCTCATCCTGCTCCGCCTCATCCTCCTCCTCCTCGTCCTCGTCCTCCTCCTCCTCATCCTCCTCGTAATCCTCGTCCTCGTCCTCCTCCGATTCCTCTTCCACCTCCTCGTCCTCGTCCTCCTCCTCCTCCTCCTGTTCCTTTATCTCCTCCTGCGCCTCTTCCTCTTCTTCCTCCTCCCCCTCCTCCTCCTCCTCAGCTTCCTCCTCTTCCTCCTCCCCCTCTTCCTCCTACTGTTCCTCCTCCTCCCCCTCCTCCTCCTCCTCCTCGTGCTCCTCCTCATCGTCCTCCTCCTCCTCGTCCTCCTCCTCCTCGTCCTCCTCGGCTTCCTCCTCGTCCTCGTCCTCGACCTCGTCCTCGCACTCCTCCTCATCCTCCTACTCATCATCTTCATCCTCCTCCTCATCTTCCTCTTCCTCCTCCTCCTCCTCCTCAGTAGTCTGTTCCTCATTCTGCTCCTCCTCCTCCTCTTTCTCCTGCTCCTCCTCTTCCTCGTTCTCCTCGTCCTCGTCCTCCTCGTCCTCCTCCTCCTCCTCATTCTCCTCCTCATCCTTCTCCTCATCCTCCTGCTGTTCCTCTTTCTCGTTGACGTCCTCATCCTCATCCTCGTCCTCGTCCTCCTCCTCCTTCTCCTCAACCTCCTCCTCCTTTTCGTGTTCCTCTTCCTCCTCCTCTTCCTCCTCTCCCTCCTCTTCCCCCATCGTCCTCGTTTTCCTTCTCCTCGTCCTCCTCTTCCTCCTCTTCCTCCTCCTCGTTCTCCTCTTCCTCCTCCTCCTCCTCTTCCTCGCCCTCCTCTTCCTCTTCCTCCTTCTCCTCCTCTTCCCCCATGGTCCTCGTCTTCTTTCTCCTCCTCTTCCTCCCCCTTCGTCCTCCTCCTCCTCCTCCTCCTCTTCCTCCTCCTCCCCCTCGTCCTCGTCCTCCTCCTCCTCCTCGTCTTCCTCCTCCTCCTCCTCCTCCTCCTCCTCCTCCTCCTGTTGAATGAACCTCCAGAAATATATTCGTGGGACTCCCGCCCAAATTTTGCTCACATCGAGCTACGGTCTCGTTTCGAATACGGAGCCTCTTCCCGCAAGCGCTCTTCCCGCGAGCACGCCTAGCTCTTCCCCCCACCGGACACAACAAGACACGTCCGACAGGGAACAGTAGCGGCCGTGCATGGCATTGCCCGCGAAGGGCATCATGGGTGTGGGATGGTCATTTTCGCTTCTGTCACTTGCCGCAATTGTTTTACATGTGTGTGCTTTTGTTGGGCTCGATTGCCTACATCGTTGGTGGAGGTGTACACGTCCTCTTTGTTTTATCCTTCTACACCTCCTCCTCCTCCTCCTCTTCCTCCTCCTCCTCGTCCTCGTCGTCCTCCTTCTCCTCCTCCTCCTCATCGTATGCGTCCTCATCCTTCCCTTCTCTTGTCGTCCTCCTCCTCGCCCTCGTCTTCCTTCCTCCGATATTCGTCCTCAAGGGCGGGCGCCGCGCGCTGGCCTGTGGTGTTGAAGCACACGTCGGGCAGCACAATGCCTCGGCGGCAGCAAAGGGGGGGTGGACGATGGGCCCATGGGGGCGGCCGCCTCACGCATTTGCCGAGGGGCCTCGTCGAAGGCGCGGGCGATCGGAACCCGCTGGATCCGCCGTCTCGCCCCGCGGGGGGGAGGGGGGGGGCAAAGGGGGGGGGGGGCGTGGGAAGCGCGGAGATTCCTCGGGGGCGCGCTGGAGCAGGCGCGACGTCGGATGAATTCGATCAGTCGAAGGCGAAGTTCCCCGAGATTCAATCAGTCGCCAGGAGTATAGTTACTCCCGGCGGCAGTGGGGTTAGAAGATGCTTGTATATTCTGGGCCCCAGGGCTCATGATGGATCCGATAGGCTACGATTCCGATGTGCAGGGAAGAAATGGAGGAGCAGGGACAGAGAACGCGTGCGACGCGAACCCATCTCCTTACTCTTCCCCGTGCACGCGTGGAAGCCGCGTGCTTCTGGTTTGATCCGCAGCAACTGCGGGGGGGCGTCGGCGGGCGGTGGCAGGCGTAGAGAACGAGCCGGGCGAGAGCAATAACTACTCCCCCCAGGGCGGGTCGCGCCGGCCCAATGCCGCCAACCCAGCTCGGAGAGCGCCGCGGCTTCTTCTCACGCAGATAGCGCCGTGGAAGCTGAGCCCCCATCGGCATGTGTTTCGTCGCCTCGTGCATCTTGGTGCGCAATTCCCATCGTTATCATCGTGCGTGTTACGACCACCATTGTGCGCTTACTCCACCTCCTATGTTCCACTGTGCTTGTGATCATCATACTGGTAAGAACGACCCCAACGGCCCTGGCGTTGACGGCGCTGGCGACCGTCGCGCGTTGAGTGGCTGCTCGACGCGCGTCTCCCCATTTCCTCCTGAAGTTGTGCTTAGTTTCGCCATGGTGGCGCCTCCGCTTCAGCGATCCCCCGCTCCTCGGTCGGGCTCCTGCTTCTCGGCCTCGCCACCTCCGCCTGCGCGCTCTGCCCGGGCGCCGGCCGCGCGCCCACGCGCGTGGACCGCCCGCCCGAAACGGCCGCCTGGGAACGCCCATCGGACGCGGCGGCCACCCCGGACACCCGCGCGGGCGGCGCGGGAGGAGGAGGAACGGCATCGGCAATGGCAATTTCACGAGTAACAGGCGCGGGGGCAACAACGGATTCGACACCCCCAGTCCTCCTAGGCTCGTCTCCCCCTGCATCTGTCGAGGCCCTTGCCAGAGTCCTTCCGATTGAATCAGCGATAGGCCCCGCAATGGGCTCGCATAGATTCGACGACGGGCTCGGAACAACGGTCGGATTGGGTATCTTCGGTCGATTGTAATCTTCTGCTGTCCATGTTTCTCCATCAGGCAGGTCCATATACCATTGCCTTTGTGCTGCAACGGTTATTCAAGTTGATCTGGTTGGGGACGTCTGCCATCGCATTCTGGATGGGCCAAAGGTCCATGCGTATCTTGGCATTGGGGCTGAGCCCCAATCCCGCGCTTACCCATCAGTTCGGAGCTCCCTGCTCCTTCTTTTTTGATGGGGTTCATAAGGCAGCGCTTCATTTGCTGCGGGCAATGGTCAACCCTGCGCCCGGCATAGATTGCTCTCCATCATTCCTGGCGCTCCAGAACTGACTGCGTAACGGATGGATGTACAGCGCGTCGCCCTTAAATGCCATGTCCCATACATGTTCGCGAATTATGTTCACCGCGCACATGGGGCCGTGATATCCGCCGGCCCCCTCGCGGGGCCACAGGGCTGTAGGGCGACGGCTCCGCAGTTTCCTCCGCCAGTTGCAGCTTCCAGTTTCCACTGTTGCAGTTCGGCTTCGTGCTGCTCACTGTTCCTTGTTGACGGGCCGCGCGAGGGGGGGGGCCCAAACGGCCAGCCAGGTTTAGCGCGCCCTGAGCGCGTGCCATGAATTGACGGGGTGGGTGAAAATAACACCCCTCGCGCAGATCGGCGGGGCCAGGGTCCAAAAACACATTGGATTTGCCACATTTCTAAAATTCCGCGGCACCCTTTGCGCAGATCGGCGGGGTCAGCGTCCAAAAACACATTGGATTTGCAACATGTTTAAAATTTGCTGGCACCCCTCGCGCAGATAGGCGGCCCAGGGTCAAAAAAACCCAAAAAGGATTTGCTGCATTTCTGGCATCCGGTGGCACCCCTCACTCAAATCGGCAGGGTCAGCGTCCAAAAACACATGGGATTTGCAACATTTTGAAAATTCGCTGACACCCCTCGCGCAGATCGGCGCGGCCAGGGTCTAAAAACACATGGGATTTGCCACATTTCTGAAATTCCGTGGCACCCCTCGCGCAGATCGGCGGGGCCAGGGTCGAAAACCACATGGGATTTGCTACATTTCTGAAATTCGATTCCACCCCTCGCGAAGGTCGGCGGGGCCAGGGTCCGAAAACCAATTGGATTCTCAAAATGTTTGAAATCTGGCGGCGCCCCTCGCGCGGATCGACAGGGCCAGGGCCCAAACACAATTGATTTACTACATGTCTGAAATTCGGCGGCACCCCCCGCGCAAATCCGTAGGGCCGGGGCCCAAAGACACACGGGATTTGCCCACGTTCTGAAATTCGGTGGCACCCCTCGCGCAGATGCGCAGGGTCAGGGTCGAAAAACAAACAGGCCCCGACTCTGCTTCACGGCGGCGCCCAGACCTCATGATTTAGCTTTTGGAGATCAAACTATCCGAGGCAAGGGGCCGGCGGCGTGGGGAGAAGCACTTGCGGAACAAATTCGCGCTTGACGTTCTCATCCAAAAAATAGGCCAGATGTTCGGAGACTCTGGAAACAGCGCATGCTTGATCAACCACGCCGCCGGGAGCTTGTTCAATGATCGTGCATTTGCCAAAGAATTTAAGTGCAACCTGAATTACCTCTCTTCTCGACGCGCCCAAAATAATTGCGCCTGAACTGTCCGCCAAGATGGCGCCATTATTGGCAACTGTCTGGGCGCCTGGACATACCGACAAGAGCGGCGGCCCTGCACTCGAAGACGCGAACAAATTACTCCATTCACATATTGGTTTTCGAACTATCAAATTTCGATTCTTCGACGGAAAAAAAAAACATCCGGCGCTTAGCGACTTGCTCGAGACCAATGAACGCCGGCCATCCCCGCGTCCAGTCTCGGGCCTGCGCGAGCACGCCTGGTCGACGATGTAGTCGCGAGGGCGGAAGGGGCCGAGCCCCATTGATCGACCGCGCCGATCTCTTTCACAGCCCTCGAAAAAGGCCGCGGGCGAATGCTTCGGGGCCTTCGCGTTGGGGATGGGATGCTACGCGGGAAAATCCTTTTTTGGGGCTTGCGCCGTGTATCTCCACCTTGGCCGCGCAGTCATGCGCCCGACAAGTTGCCGGGAGGAACCGTTCCATCCGCAGTGACCTTGTCTTCCCACAACTGCCACCTTTCTTCTGGCACAGTTACGCAGACTTCTACGCGAGCCCGAAAGAACGCGCAAAGTGGCAAGAATGTCGCGGGCGCCCCCGAAGGGTCAGGGTGTTTCCAGGCTACGGGCCACCCTTGCGACGCATTTGTCTTATCAGCCCTCCCGAGGTTGCGCGCAATTGACCTCTTCTCGAGCGGGTCAATGCGAAGGGAAAGCGTTCTGCATCTAAGATGTGTCATGCTATCATCTTTCTCCGCCCTCCATGGGGGCAGCGCGTGCGTCTCTTTGACCAGACCGGCCACGCCTGCCAAATGCATGCTTATCCTGAGGTTGTCGACGACACATTGTCTCTGGCGCTCATCGTACATATTTGAATTATTGTGGGCAGTCTTTGAATAATGCTTGTGCTCAGATCGCTTGATTCACATATTCGGGTCGCCCTGCCTCGGGCAGGCTCCATCTGGGCCCGCAATCCACCTAAATTCGTTCCGTGCATGTAGCAAAGTGTCCACTTTCTCGATTGCCCCGGTAACCGCGGAGCTTTGGTTTCGCTCCACCATTGCGTTGCAGCGCGGGCGCTGCGCCATGCCAGCGCGGAAACTGCGCAATCACGCGCAAACGTATATTATGTAAATCCACGGGCGTTCACATAGGAAACCGTCATCTGATTGTAGATAAACTATGATGCTATGTGCATCAAATTGGATCTCCTTCCGCGACCAATGCGTGTCGTAAGTGTTGCGCCAGGTCGTGGGAAAAAAACTGCATCTTCATCATTGCCTGCGCGGGTGCAAAGAACGATCTTGTCAATAATCGCCCATTCGGGAATCTCATGGGAGAAAACAACCGTCAGGAGTCATCCGGAACTTGTTGTCGCAGTGTATCTTTTCATGGAAGTGCAAGGTGTCATCCAACTCCTTCGTGACATAATTCAACGGCGATGGGCGAACATCATGGCCATCGCGTGCGTTCCCCACGCGGCGCCGGCAACTACAACGACTCCGCCGACAGCGCCGAGTGCGCTTGAAGGCAGAAAGCACGCCGAATAACATAATCATGGTCATAGTCGCGGCATTAAAATATAGGCGATCAGCGTTTCCCAGCGGGCAAATAGCTGAGCCACGAGCCCCTGGGAGCTGTCACGGGCGCCTGGGCGTGGTGGCGCGGAATCGGCACTGGGCGCCGACGGAACGCTCGCCCTTCTCTGTCCAATTCCCTAAAAATCCTTCTTTGCCGTTGCCGTTCCTTTGCTGCCGGCGCTTTTCTGGCTGCCGTTCTCGTTGCCAGCGTCAGAGCCAGCTGCAGAATATGCATCGGCCACGTTAGCTGCTGCAGATTCAGCCTGCTTTGGCGCGCGCTCGTTCCCATTTGTCCTGTTTCAATACTTCCTCTGGAATCATAATAATTCCTGCGCTGCCGGTGGCAAGGAGGATCGTTACGTTGGCCGCGGCGCTCGCCTCTCGAGAAAGCGTAACAAACCACCTTCTTCTGTCGTTCTTCAGCATGACCCTTCGACGGACCCCTGCCACCCTTGGGCCCTGAGGTAGACGGCCTATCTTTTATGCCTTCACTCTTGCCCATGCCATGTTTCTCCACGACTGGCGGCGCCACGGAGGCCGCCGCGGGTTTCCCACGGTTGAATGGGCACCGACGAATCTACCGATTCGTCGACCGAGCAGCCTGCACGTCTGCTCGCATACAATTCGCGCGCATATACCATATGCATGCGCCGGCGTGCGCGTGTTTACGCATATATGTATACATACATACATGTGTGCGTTTATCTATATCATCGTTCGGTCCCAATGGAATGGTTTCCCAGTGGGAGCATTCATACACATAATTCTTCGACGGCGAAGCAATGGCAGTCGGGATCTGGTGGGGGGAGGGGGGGCCATCATTGATTTAAACAAGTTTCCGGCGTTACTCCCGGCGAAAACGGTGCCTTTCTCCTCGCCCTTTTACCACGCACGCGCGGAAGCCGCGCGCTCTTGGTCTGATCCGCAGTAACTGCGGGGCGGCGTCGGCGGGCGGCGGTAGGCATAGAGAGCGAGCGGGGAGAAACTAATAACCACTGATTATGCAATTGCCCTGTGACGTACCCAACCCATTTGCATCAATGGAAACGACGAGTTGGCCGAAACTTGTATGGACAATCAACTTGATGTGTAAGCTACTTGGGAGGCGACACTGTGCTGGGCCCCGCAAGCAGGCCTCGAAAGTGGCGACAGTTTCACCGATCGCAGCACCCCAGGGATGGCGAGGTCTAATTTGAATCTGCGTGTGGAGTCACTGTGCTGGCCCCCCCAGCAGGCCTCGAAAGTGGCGACAGTTTCACAGATCGCAGCCCCCCCAGGGATGGCGGGGTCTAATTTGAATCTGCGTGTGGGTAGCCACTGTGCTGGGCCCCTTAGCAGCCCTCGAAAGTGGCGACAGTTTCACAGATCGCAGCCCCCCAGGGATGGCGAGGTCCAATTTGAGTCTGCGGTGAGTACCCACTGTGCTGGGCCCCCCAGCAGGCCTCGAAAGTGGCGACAGTTTCACAGATCGCAGCCCCCCAGGGATGGCGAGGTCCAATTTGAGTCAGCGGTGAGTACCCACTGTGCTGTGCCCCTCAGCAGCCCTCGAAAGTGGCGACATTTCACAGATCGCAGCCCCCTCAGGGATGGCGAAGTCGAATCTGAGTCTGCGGTGAGTACCCACTGTGCTGGGCCCCTCAGCAGCCCTCGAAAATGGCGACAGTTTCACAGATCGCAGCACCCCAGGGATGGCGAGGTCTAATTTGAATCTGCGGTGAGTACCCACTGTGCTGGGCCCCTCAGCAGGCCTCGAAAGTGGCGACAGTTTCACAGATCGCAGCCCCCCAGGGATGGCGAGGTCCCATTTGAGTCCGCGGTGAGTACCCACTGTGCTGTGCCCCTCAGCAGGCCTCGAAAGTGGCGACAGTTTCACAGATCGCAGCCCCCCCAGGGATGGCGAGGTCTAATCCCACCAGCCCTTTAGGGCGTGAGTGGTTTAGAAAGCCCCCTCTGTCCAACCCCCTTCCTCCCCTTCGGGGAGGGGTTTACCCCTCCCCCTACCCCCTCCCCTGGGCCTGGAGAGGGCGCCTCGCGGGTCGTCAGGGGGGTCCATTTCGACTCCTGGGAGGGCTAAAGAACGACGACCCTCACGAGGATTCTGGCCCCGACGGGGGGAGGGAGAAAAAACCCTCTCCTCTTCGGTGAAACCAAAATCATTGATTTTACTAAGGTTTTGGCCCCATGTTGGCCTTCTGAGGGGGCAGCGCTCATTAAAGTTCCCCTCCTCCTTCAAAGCAAAATCATTGATTTTACAGAAAGGTGTTGGCCTCAGTTTGCCCTTCTGAGGGGGCAGCGCTCATTAAAGCTCCCCTCTTCTTAGATCCATTCCCTCCAAGATGGCCCCAAGAAGCGCCCAGGAGGCACCAAGAGGCCCCAAGATGGCCCCAAGAGGCCCCCAGGAGGCCCCCAAGAGGCCTCCAAGAGGCCCCCAAGATGCCCCCAAGAGGCCCCCAAGAGGCCCCAAGAGGCTCCCCCGAGGCACCCAAGACGCTCCTGGAAGCCCCTGGGGCCGCCAAGAGGCCCCCAAGACGCCCCAAACGGCCTCCAAGAGGCTCCCAAGAGGCCCGAAGAGGCTCCCCCAAGGCACCCAAGACGCTCCTAGAAGCCCCTGGGGCCGCCAAGAGGCCCCCAAGACGCCCCAAAAGGGGACGAGGTGCCCGAACGCCTCACGCCACGAGGAGCCCGAACGACTCACACCAGGACGAGGGGCCCGAACGACTCACACCACGAAGAGCCCGAACGACTCACACCAGAAGGAGGGGCCCGAACGACTCACACCAGGACGAGGCGCCCGAACGACTCACACCACGAGGAGCCCGAACGACTCACACCACGACGAGGGCCCCGAACGACTCACACCACGAGGAGCCCGAACGAGTCACACCAGGAGGAGGGGCCCGAACGACTCACACCAGGACGAGGGGCCCGAACAACTCACACCACGAGAAGCCCGAACGACTCACACCAGGACGAAGAGCCCGAACGACTCACACCACGAAGAGCCCGAACGACTCACACCAGGAAGAAGGGCCCGAACGACTCACACCAGGACGAGAAACCCCAAACGACTCAAACCACGAGGAGCGCTTTCTCTCCCTCCTCCTCCGCCTCGTCCTTCTCCCGCTCCCCCCACAAGGAGGATGTACAAGGAGGCGGGAGGAAGGAGTAACAGGGGAGATATGCGGGCCCAAGCGGACACACGCCTGAAAAACACGACTGTCGGCATGCTTCGCAAGAGTTGCTGTTGTGAGATGGGCTGGTGGGGATACGCGAAGCGTAAAGAATTTGAATCTGCGTGTGGGTACCCACTGTGCTGGGCCCCTCAGCAGCCCTCGAAAGTGGCGACAGTTTCACAGATCGCAGCCCCCCAGGGATGGCGAGGTCCCATTTGAGTCTGCGGTGAGTACCCACTGTTCTGTGCCCCTCAGCAGCCCTCGAAAGTGGCGACAGTTTCACAGATCGCAGCCCCCCAGGGATGGCGAGGTCCCATTTGAGTCCGCGGTGAGTACCCACTGTGCTGTGCCCCTCAGCAGGCCTCAAAAGTGGCGACAGTTTCACAGATCGCAGCCCCCAGGGATGGCGAGGTCCAATTTGAGTCTGCGGTGAGTACCCACTGTGCTGGGCCCCCCCAGCAGGCCTCGAAAGTGGCGACAGTTTCACAGATCGCAGCCCCCCAGGGATGGCGAGGTCTAATTTGAATCTGCGGTGAGTACCCACTGTGCTGGGCCCCCCAGCAGGCCTCGAAAGTGGCGACAGTTTCACAGATCGCAGCCCCCCAGGGATGGCGAGGTCTAATTTGAGTCTGCGGTGAGTACCCACTGTGCTGGGCCCCCCAGCAGGCCTCGAAAGTGGCGACAGTTTCACAGATCGCAGCCCCCCAGGGATGGCGAGGTCCCATTTGAGTCTGCGGTGAGTACCCACTGTGCTGGGCCCCCCAGCAGGCCTCGAAAGTGGCGACAGTTTCACAGATCGCAGCCCCCCAGGGATGGCGAGGTCCCATTTGAGTCTGCGGTGAGTACCCACTGTGCTGGGCCCCCCAGCAGGCCTCGAAAGTGGCGACAGTTTCACAGATCGCAGCCCCCCAGCTGGCACGCAGCGACGAGCGAGGCAAAAGGCAAAGGGGAAGAGAGGGGCGGGAAGGAAGGAAGGAGACGCGCGAGCAGTGCTCTGTTCAAAACGAGAACCCAACGCAGGATGGTTGGGAAAAAGGAAAAAGTGTTTAGAGGCTGGAGGCAAAAATCGACGAAGCCCCCTGGCAGGCGATGTTTCCCCCTGGGTTCTCCGCCCCTCTTGCAGCCCGCTGGCAGGCCGTTGAGGTCCGTGGCGTGCAACGGCGGGGCCGGCGGCAGGAACCACGTGGAGCAGCCGCCAGCCTGGAGCGGCGCGGCGCCCGCGAGGAGGGCCGCCCGGGCTGCCCTGCGGGTCGCGCGCGAGCGTGCTGGGAGGTCGCCCTCCGCGCCATTCCGTCCAGGAGGCTCGAGGCTCGAAACCCAAAGGCAGATATCTTTTGCTGCTGAATGCTTTTTGATGTCGTCTTGCGAACTCGATCGAGCAACAAAAAAATCGACCGATCGACGAAGGCCCCCAGAGGACTCTGGGAACCTGTCCATCCCCTCCCCGCCTGGCCACCGTCCCCTCCTGGTCCTGTTCCCCCCCCTCTTTCTCTTCCTCTGCCTCTTTGCCCCGTCCTGCCTGCGCGCGCGGCCGCGACAGCGGCGCGCCTGGGCCGCCAGCATGGCCGCGAGCGGCCTGCGCCCTGGTGCCAGGCCGCGCTGCGGCGCGGCTGGGAGAGCCAAGAAGGGCGAGGGTCTTAGCACATCCTCCGGGAACCTGTAATGCATTCACACATATGTTTAGATGTATTTAAACGTATAGATACACACGTATATGTGTGCAAATACACAGAATGCACAATAATGCCTTGGCGTTTTGCGTCATGCACCGTGGTCCTTGAAATTTGGCGTGCAGGCGGAAGTCGCGGCGGACGGACAGGAAGGTAAAGAAGAAACAATAGCAACAACTCATCGCTGCCTTATCCGACATCGTCGCCATAATGATGCCATCTTTTATCATTCTCTCATGTTTCCGCTTCCTCTGCTGCATTCTCGCCCCCCCTTGCGAATTCTTCTCCATTCTCCCCTCCCCTTTTTGCGGAGGCTCCTCTTTGGAGAGCTTCTAGAGGACCTCACGACAATTTTACATAGATTGTTTGGGCCTCCTGGGCGCTCTCGGGGGGCCTCTGTAAGCTTCCTCGGGCCACCCTGCTTCCAACTGCGGTCTCCCTGAATGACCCGGCCACGCCTTGGAATGCTTCGGGGAGCGGCTTGGGGCCATCTTAGGCCGTCAACAGGCTCTCTTGGGGCCCTGTTGGGCCGTTCTGGTGGTCTCCTGGACAGCCTGGAAGCCCTTTCGGATAAGTTTGGCATGATTGTCGGGCTTATTGGGCGGCCTCGGACGTCTGGAAGACCGAAGAACAACGCATTCCCAAAATCATGCAAAGAACACTGGAAATCATTGTTTTCTGCATGTGGAAAGCTTCTCGAGGGTGGACCCGCTGCCTGGGCCCAGCAGGGGCCCCCAGCTCCAAAAAAGCCTGGTGAACCTTCTGCAAACGCGTCCAGGGGGCCCCAGGGGCAACGGATTCGGGGTTCCCGTTTAGGGGGTGGGGGGGGAGTCGCAGGGTCCCATACTAAAACAATCGTGACAAGAGATATGTAGATATGCACACTCCAAAGAAACTATCCACGCCAAACGGAACATGCACCATTCCGAGGAAGTGCGCGTAAAAATCAGAAGACACAGCAACTGGAACGTTATTCGTGACCATTGCAGAGGGTACGCAAGACCATGCATCCAGCAGGACGCGTCGGGAAGCACAAGCCAAGTCAAACGTAAAGGGGAAGCAGTTCTGAATGACACTGATAAGGTGCGGTCTGAACGGGGCTGGTGAAATAAAGGACCGCACAATACGCCCTCAAGATAATTGGCACCATTCCCAAGAATATCCGCAGGATCATAAGGCCCACGTAGAACTCAGGGCGGTGCAATCCATGAAATTCGCGCTGGTTGTGGTGTGACGTAGTCGTGGCGAGGGGGAGGCGAACAGGAGGCGGAAGAACAACAATGCGTTGTCAAGCAACCGCTGGCGCAATGCCACTGGTTGCCTCTCGTCCAAGCCGCTACAAGTCGAACAAAAGGCTGTATGGGGCCATATCCAAGCGCCTTCGGCTCGCTGAGCTGGTGGGCACCAAGTGCGTTACCGCGTCTGCCCTGAGAGCGATATTGACAACATGCCCGAGCTCAGCGCAAGGGTGGACGAGGGAACACACAGACGCAGCCTGGGCAAACTCTTCATGAAGAACTTCGAAACCCAACCGCTTATGGCGAACTCTGCACGAAATTGTACTTGCCCCAGGAGCACGGCGACGACCTGGCATGGGACGTGCCAGACCCAGCATATATGTTGACTTGGATGCGCATGCACTCGCACAACATTGGAAAACTATTAACTCGTCAATATGTCACAGCAATCGTACACGTGCGATGCCCCTGAGAAAGTAGTACTGTACGCGGGCAAGGTTGTACCAGGCAACGTGTTGCGCCTTGATCCCAGCAAAACGTCACAACGTTGCAATTGGGAAGTGCAAGAAGTAGGCACGGGATCGTTGCACTGCGGATGTATGCGGTTCCTTGGTAGCGTACTGAGAACGGCTGAGATCAATAAAGTGAGGCGGGGCATTGCAGCTGTTTTAACGGTGGTGTTGGAATTGCTCGTCAAGGCAACGTCTGATTTCCCGAGTGGAATCATTGTCCATTGCTGTAGGTTTGGGGGTAAGCGGCTTGGACCAGACGCAGTCCTGGGCCAGTGGCTGCAAATCAAAATAATGCGTCGTCGCCGCACCCCCCGTTCCTGGGGACCTCCTCCTCAAGCGTTCCAACATATAAAAAACCAGGAAGCGACGTACTCGAATCGAATCGCCTTCTCTTTGATTCCTCCCCCGCGGGGGGGGGATCGAGGGTGGTGTGAGGGCCCCGAGGGTTGCGACCTCCCCCGGGGGGGCACCCCTTCCTGTGATAAGCTTTCGGCTCCACAGCATCAGCGTCGTCGTCATCGCCGTCGTCGTCGCGGTCGTCCGAGTCGTTGTTGTCGTCCCCCTTCAGGATCGGCTGCACCATCCGCAAGGCCTTCGCACTCCTCCTCATCCGCAGCCCGTTTCCTCTCCTCCTCGCCGTCGAGTCCTACGGGGATGCGATGGACTGCGAAATATCCCGAAGAGAGCTGCATCGATGCTATATCTCGCACTGTAGATTGATGCGGCTGGTTTCTTCCAGGCTGAAACGCACCATCCGATCAGAAATCCCACCAGCTCTGTGGGCGTAGGTGGTCTAGAGCAGATCCTCTTCCACCCCTCCCTCTTCCCCCTTGGGGAGGGGTTTACCCCTCCCCCTACCCCCTCCCCTGGACCTGGACGGGGGGGGCCGCGGCGCGTTGGAGCGTCCAAGATTGCCAAAGATGGCTTCCAAAGCGCCTCAGAGAGCCCAAGATGAGCTCCAAGATGGCTCAAGATAGCGCAAGATCGCTCACGATGGCTCCCAAGATGCTCCAAAAGGCCCCAAGACGAGCCCAAGACGGCCCCAAGTGGCCAACGAGCTCCCTAAGGAGGCCCCGACGAGGCCAACATCGTCCCAAAACCGAAGGAAAAAACAATGTTTGTTGCTTTCTCGCCTTGTCGCTTCCGATGGACATCCGAGGCCTCAATCTGGCTCCAAGATGGCCCAAAAGGGCCCCACGAGAGGCCCAAGAGAGCCCCAAGACGGCCCAAAAAGCGCCCAAGAGCGCTCCAAGAGGGGCCCAAGAGGCGATTTATGGGGCTCCCGAGGGGGGATGCTAATTGGAGCTCCCCTCTTGTTTGATCGACTCCCTCCAAGATGGCCCCAAGAACGCCCCGAAGGCTCCCTAGAGCGCCCCAAGAGCGCTCCAAAAGGCGCCAAGACGTCCCCAAGAGGCGCCCAAGAGGCCTCCAAGAGGCTCCCAAGAGACCCCCAAGAAGCCTCAAGAGGATTTCCGGAAAGGCATTCAAGACGCTTCTGGCTCTTCGGTTCGCCGTCCTCTTCCTCTTCCTCTTCCTCAACCACCTCTTCCTCTTCCTCCCTCCTCCTCCTCCCCCTCCTCCTCCAGCTGCCGTCTGGGCATAAGAGATTGTCAGGGCAGCCCAGACCGCCACCATGCAATTCCTCAGTTCGAGCTGACAGAAGGGGCGGCGGCCCGCATGATGGCGGCACTAACAGCATCTCTCGCAATGCTTCTCTCCAACCCGCTCTCGGCAAAGCCCGAGATTGGCGGAGATAGACGAGGAGGCTCACAACTTCGACATTATCGTGCTGACTGGGACCTCCCGCGGAAGACGTGACCCCACCACCACGCAGCACCGCAACGCCGACACCCGCTACTACGAGGCGGGCTGGCAGCCAGGCGACCTGACCAACCGCAGCACGGGCATCATCATAGCGCTCCAGGGTCGACTCCGAGGCGCCAAGGTGACATAACTACATGAGCCACCACAGGAACTCAGCGGACGTGGACTAGCGATCACCCTGCAGCACCATGACCGGACCATGCTGATCATCGGATACTACAGCCCCCCCGCAGCCCACCAAGGGCAAGAGGGCACGCAAGGACTATTACGCGACGACCAACCGCCCGTTCGCATGGATAGAAGACGTGAGCCAACAGAAGAACCGCAACACGATGCTCATAGTGGCAGGCGACCTCAACGACGGAGTGGGCATCACAAGCAAGGGCGACCGACCAGAGACGGCAGCACTCGGCGAAGGACGATCACCAGAACGACTACCAGGAGGCGCTGGACAGAAAGCCCGAAACTACGCGGACCGCCACCAGCTCAGCATAGTGAACACCATTGGTAGTTGGAGGCCCACGTACTTCGGCGAGAAGCACGCCAGCTGCATCGACTACACCATGATACCGCAGAGCATGACAGAAACGATGATATCACAAGGACCCCTGCTACACATGGGAGCGCGCCTTCAACATATACGATGCCGAGCACGACGGGATCATGTTCCAGTTCACGTGACATTTCGCCTACCACTACGACAACGGGTACAACGCGACCACAGCCACCCAAGTGGGACAAGGATAGCTTGGCCCACGCAGTGCGGCACGGGCTTCACCGAGACGAGTTCATTGAGCAGGTGGAGCAGGCCATGCAAGATTACGATCCAGCAGGCAAAGGAGTGGACCAACTCTTCCAGGACATCAACGCCATGCTCATCGAGAAAGCACAGAGGTACTACAGCAAGGCGCCGACACCAACAAACGAGTACGAGGATGTACGCCGCGAACGAATGCAACTCCTCCGAGAACGCAGAGCAGCTAGAGCCGAACTTCATGACCTCCACGCAGCTACCACAGAAGCCCCCCGCACGCCTGCGACCGCATCGTCGCCACCCCCGTTTTGCACGGACGAGCTCGACCCCAGGGGCCCCACCGCGACGGCGACCCAGGACCAGAGAGAAACAGAAGGCAAGCCATACGCCGAAGCGGAACCAACGCCACTCACCGAGACAGAACTACGCATGCGCAGGATCGAGACGCAGCTACGAGACATCACTCGGACGTGCCAACTACAACGACGACGGGCACAGCAACAGCGTACCGACCTCCGCGTGGAGGAGATGTACGAGGCGTGGGAGCAACGCGATCTAGCACGGGTAGGACGACTCTCTAGGCTGATAGCAGGTGGACGGTACGGACCACGCAAGAGGGACTACTGGACGGCGACGACGGC